AAATGTTACAATAATAAATATCAAATATGATACTGATATTGCTATCATATTTTATTCATAAATATTCGATGAGGTTAATGTTTCAATTTTCGACAACTTTTAGAAATCAGTATCTAAATTTTCCAGAAAAGAATATTTAAAAATATTGAAAAATAAATTTTTAGAAGAAAAATCTTGTAACTATAATTCTTTATTTACAAACATTATTAACTTCAATTATTAATTTCAATATTTAAACATTTTAATTATATATCATTTCATTATACATTTGATAATAGTCAAATCTAGTTCCAATGAATGATGTGGAAAACTATAAGAAAAAAATTCTTCGCTATCATTAAATGCCTTATGATTTATATTATAATTCAAAAAAGTTTTTTCAAAAAATTCTCCATTATTATCGAATGTTCATATCTTATTAAGTTTAAAATAAAAAATATAAGATTGTTAAAGAATAATACTTTTTAAAATTTTAATATCATACATTCTAATGAAGCAACTTCTATTCTCATGCACTATAATATGTTGTTTTCTAGTAAAAAAATCAGTTCTATATACTATTTTATATACTATACTGTTAAATGAAATAATATAAGAAAGAATTAACTTTGACACATTTATTTAAATATAATAAAGTGTAAATAACATGCTGATATTATGGTATTAACTGCATGATTTCCAATTAAAAAAACGATCTTTAGTAATTAGTGATATGAATGTAATAAATTTATAATAACATCGATATATTCGGAACGTGATAATTTCAACTTGTCATTTAACTATCGAAAAAGCAGATTGCAATACTGGTGAAATGTTAAAATAAAATGCCTGGACGCGGTCCAGATTTAAAATAATATTAAAATTTTTTAATAATGAAATATAATTTAGATTTTGTCTGATAGTCAAATTATACTTGTTTTTCTTGGTTCTGGAAATGAAAAAAATAGCAGACTTGAACTGGATAAAATTTTAATCTAAGAAATAATAATTATCATAATGGCAACACTATATAAAATAAAAATTAAAATATATATATAACAAATAAATATATTAATCGTTAAGTCGTACTTCAAATTAATAACTTATGACTTGATGCAAATATTAGAATGAACACTGAGTATGAAAATTAGCTTCTAATATTTCTTGAAATATGCATGATGCTGTTGGCTGTCAGATGGTGATTAATTTCTCATCCATTATACAATTTTCACAAAAAAATCACAAAAGGAAACGGATATGTTATTGAGAGTAGCGCGGATAAATAAATTTGTCAAAATTTCGATTTGAGAAAATGGCAGAAAAAATTGATGATTAATTATGAAAGTCTTGATAAAAGAGAGCGATTGTTTTTATTTTTATCAGATGAGTCATTATTTTGAAATAACATGTGCGATATCCGCGCATCATTAAGAATTTGCAAAAAATGAAATCATAAATTATTACGCTGAATTTTAAGAAAATATGCTAATATAATGTAGAAAAAATAATATAATGTACTAAATATTGCTTATGTGATTTGCAATAGCAAATTCCAAAAAGTGGCAACCTTCCAAGAAAATTAAAAATTTACTAAGCTTAATGATTTTATGATTTTATTTTAATAAAATAAAAATAAAATAAATAAATAATATTTTAAAAGTTTTTTTTCTCATATATAATATTAATATATTGATTTTTTTTTTGAATGATCAATTTTAAAGGCTAAAATAAAAAAAAAGTTGATATATTAAAATTTGGGATGAACTTTATTTATTATGTTTTATCAAATTTGTTTTCAATTTATTGAAAAAGTTTCAATTAATATTTTTATATTAACTTTTTGTTTGTTTTGATTCCTAGAATCAAAAAATAACTTTTGAATATATTAATAACTTATTTCATTTTTCTAATATATTTATATTTCTTTCATCTATATATTTTTCTTTTTTTTCTATTACAGCGTTCAAGAAAAATTATTGCAAGATGTGAACAAATAGATAATATTTTACAATCATTTGGAATTGAAACAAATTATCGAAAAATTTTCCTCCAACTTATACAAACATTAATTATTTTCAGCATAATAATAATGAGCATTATCTCACTAAATTGGTATTGGTATATTTATACTTATAAATTACGAGAATTCAATTTAATTTTGCTTATGTATATACCAATAATAACTACGACTTTAGGAATTTTTACGTTTACCGTATTCGTAAGGTAAAAATATATATATATATTATAAAAAGAAAGAAATAACTAAAAAACTGAACTTAAAATTAAATAAATAGATAAATATCATATTTCTGAATTTAAGATCAAATTTCTTTAAAAATATATAAACTCTACATATATAAATATAATATAGAGTAATATATATATATATATATATATATATATATTTCAATAATGTTTAAGAAATATAAGAAAAAAACAAGAAAAAGTAAATCTGAAGAAGAAAAAGAATGTTGTTTTAAAATTGAATTTTACATAAATAGAATAACTACAATAAAATCAATTATATAATTTTAATATTTTTTATTATTTATTTAGTTATTCAATTAATTTTTTTTATTTTTAATTATTTGTAATCAAGCGGTAATAAACAATAATTATTTAATAACAGCTTTTTTTATTATTTCTATTCGAGTAAATTCTATTTCTATTTTTTTTTTAATTTCTATAGCATGATTAGTTTTTTCTTGTGATTTCATAATTATAATTAATTAATTATAATTAATTAATTTATTTTCTCAAAATAAAATTAATTTATTTATCATAATTTATTAATTTATTTTCTCAAAATAAAATTAGATTTTCAATAATATCAAGATAAGGATTTAATGTAACCATGACAGTGACTTTGAATTAATTTCAAATTTCTTAAATGATGATGAAGATTTACTAATAAAAATTATCATACAAAAAAATAGTACTTTCATCTTCTGTCAATGCTATAATTAACATTAAATATTCATATTACAATTATTGAATTGATTTAATTTGAAATATGGTTTAATTCTTATGAAAAAATAAATTGCAATGGAAAAATTAAATATTAGAAATTTTTATATGATTTTTTATTTTGTTCTGTGACCAAATCACTAATTTAGATCATATTCTAATTATTCAATACTAATTACTACAAATAAAAAAAAAATTATCTAAATATTAATTACGAGGATATTAAAATTACACGTTGAATTTATATTCTTTATTTTAAAATATATTTTTGAAAGATTATTCTTTATTTTCAGATTTATAAAAAAAAATTTTTTGTTTCTTTATTTTCTTTAATTATAGAAATACATAAGATATTTTTATTTTTGTTTCTTTTTTTTTGAAATTTGTATGTATTTTTCTAAAAATATGAATGATTTATAATTCTATGAATATGATGATTTTATAATTATTGACAACGCATGCTCCGAAATCATTTGAGATATTATTGTTAATATTGTTATAATATTATTGCCAATATTATTGAATTATTGTTAAGTATTTTACAGGATAAGTTGTATAAGATAAACAAACTTATGAAAGAAGTACATCAGTTATGTAATACAAATAATATTAATATAAGATATGAAATACAATCACGTATTACACGTAAATTTATAATTCTAATGGATTATTATAATAGAAAATATTTAATTCAATATGTTCTTCAAGTTACAAGGTATGTTTGATATTGTATATTTTATAGCAATATCTAGAATTTCGTAATTTTGTAATATTAATTAGTAAAGATAGCCTCAGATAGTAGATAGCTCTCGGACATTTTTAATATCTTGATTATCTATAAATAATATACATCTTAGTAATAATGTACTACTATCAAGCAAATTAGATATTATAATCAATTTTCTTTTCATTGAAAATGTCATTACTGATATAAAATTTCATTTATGTTCATTATTAAATGTTTTATTGATTTGAACAATATATTTTAAATGTCAACATATTTTTTTGTCAACAAAATACTTTAAAATTTATCTAATTTTCTTTCATATTATATAAATTATTGGCAAGAGTGTTAAATAAGATCAATCGATACATTCTTATCTTCTAGATATTTTTAAGAATCATAAAATAATTTTAAAAAATAAAATTAAATATCTTTGAAGATTCAATTTTTCAATTAAATATGATATAATATAAAATGATATTTGTTGATGAATTTTTAGTATTCCGGAATTTATTCTTTGAATCATGATATATTTAGCGATATCAATCTTTTATTTGATTCAATGACTAATATAAAAACGGATTACTTTATTAGAATATTTAATATAATAGTATATATAATAGTATATACTTAATATAATATTACTTAATATAATATTTCTATGTAATCTCTTATTGAATTATTAATCTTAATGAATAATGTAATAAATTATCTTATCTTTGCGTAATACTTCTAATAAATATTTAATACTTTAATACAAAAAAATGAAATTTTAATTTCTTCAGTTGATGATGAATTTTTTATAAAAAGATTGCCACTACAAATAAAAGATATTGCAGAAAAATAATACTAATATTTTTAATTAAAATGAGCATCATGAGACATAATATATTCTTTATGAAAAAATTTACTTTATGAAAAATGTAATATAATAAATATAAAAATTGGACATATGAACAATGTACAAATATTGATAAATTAAATTTGTGATATTATATTGTGATATTTTTACATGCGAAAAAACCATTGAAAATTATGTCCGAGACTATATTTTTTAATTGTATGTATATATCATTTTCTGATTATAGATAATCACAATAATATATAATAAATCAGAAAGTTTTTTATATATATATTTTTTTTATATATTTGTTTTCTGAAAGAAAAGTTTCATTAAAATTTATAGATTTATTTTTTTATGTTATTTAAAATATCTGAAGCTATTCTTTTCCCTTATTAATATAATAATTTATTAGGTTGAAAAAGTAATAATATTAATATTATTTTATTTCCTATCTCTAACCTATTTCTTTTTTTTTATCTATTAAAGGCACATTCATTTTGAGATCCTTAAACTTTCACATGAACTTAATCAAGCATATACTTATCAAATTCTATTAGACTTAATAGTGCAATTTTTATTAATACTTTGTACACTTTATAATTTATATTTTTATTTAAAATCATTCAACATATCAGAACCATTATCAAATATAGGAATTATAGGATTTTTAATATGGATTTCTCTGAATTTAATAAAAATTATTTTTATAAATAATCATTGTACTAATTTGTATCGTGAGGTAAGATTATATTTATTTATATTATAAAAGAAAAATTGATATAAAAATATGTATATAATACTAAAATTTTATAGATACAAATAACAACACATTTACTTCGACAATTGGAAATTTGCTATTTAGATAATTCTATTAGAGATGAGGTAAGATCCATTTATAGTTATATAGTTATCTATATAGTTATATATAGATTAAAATTGAATTTATTATGAATTTACTATGAATTTACTATTATTTCTGCCAAAGTAACTTATATTCCTTTCTTTTTATTAATTTCATAATTTTGATATATACATATAAAAATAATCATTTTGAGTGTTTTTTTCACACATAATGAGTGAATAGCAAAATAGCTTTAATTTTTGAATCATTTATAAAATAGCTTTGATACTATATTATTGAATTCTGTTTATGCAAGGTTTTATATATAATAAATTATTTATCATTGGCTTTATATTGGTTTTATGGAGATGATTTATAAGATCAATTACGAGATCTATTATTTGATATATTATATTATAATATAATCTCGAAATTACTTAACAATTAAAAATAGATTTGTCATAAATTTTGCATATAACAATTTTTTTATATATTGCAATATCTTTTACGAGCAAAAACTTTCTACATCAATAGTAGCATATAAAAAAATTTTATATCCTAAAAAAAAAAAAATTTCGACCTGTATAAATCAACATTCATTAAAAAAAATCATTTCGTAATATTTTAAAAAAAGGATTATTTTGTAAATAAAAAAAAAGATGATATTTTCTATACAAATATATTTTAAATAAAATGAATCAAGGGAATGATAAATCAAAGGAAAAATATATTTGTGACGTATGGTTTCTTTGAAATTTTTCTTCTTTGTAATGAATACTATATGAAGTATTATAATAAAAAAAAAATATCATATAAAAAAATAATAAAAAAAAAAATTTGAAAATCATAAGTTAATTCTGCAATTATTTTTTTAAACTTTTATCGATTTAAATCTGAAAATAAGGAATTATTTTCCAAAGCCGTGACAAATAATTTTTAAACATTATTTGCATGATGCAAATTGATATTTTATGATAATTTATGTAATTTCGCTAATAAATATATAATAATAATAATAAATAATAATATATATAATAAATATATGTGTTTATAAAAATGTGTTTTATAAATATGTGTTTATATAGCATATTTTGAAGATTAGACAAATCAAAATAATGAAGAGTTCATATATAATAGTTCATATATAAATACATATATATCTAAGATTTAATTTAGTTGTAAGCATTTTAAGTTAAGCATTATATAAAATGAAATAATTGAAGAAGGAAAATGCTCAACTAGATGCAGTGTCACTTACATATCGTAATATTACTTACATACAAAATTTCTCAATAAAAAGTAAATGTATAATATAACTATATATAATATAACTTTTTTATATAGAAATGACTATTTTTGAATTTTAGTATAATGTAATATATAATGATCATAAATATTATAATATCATTATGAAATATATTTATCATTAAAAAAAAATTATGATTTTTAATTATGCAAATTTACATAATTTTGTTATTTAAGATTTACTTCCAACGAGTATTTAGCATTCAGTACGATGATTATATAACTCCGTTTACTGTATAAACAAAAATGTGTTACGATACTATCGCATATATCTCTTATACGTTTTTAGTTTACCGGTATTTATTCTATCTAACACAAAATTAAAATTAAAATTTCTAATACATTATGAAACATTTATAATTTATTAATTAAATCTTATCAGACATATAAGAGCTTTTTCATTATTTTGATATTTAAGATTCATCGAAACAATTTTCCCTGTATTATTTTTATAGATACTCTTTATATCTGTGCAACACAACCGTTAAAATAGGTGTAATCATATTTTCATTAAATGTTGCGGTACAAAATATGTGATTAATCTCTCGACCATAAGTTACAAATTAATGTAATGAAAATGGGAGGAATAAGGAAATGTATAAAAAGATATGTGTATGTTTATTTTTGTTTCTTTCAGAAATGTGTTACAATTTTAATATTAATGGAAAGATTCAGATTATAATTGTGACTATGACCTGTGATTATATATTTTATAAACATTGCCTAAAGATTCTGACTAGGGATTTTATGAACTATCATCTAATTGTGCATATTATATATTAGTATATTTGAATCGGTCATTAGAATCGGAAAAATTTAAATCAATAAATTTGCATGCGGTTTTATTATATTTATTATTTTATTAGGTGTGCAAATAAATTCTTTCCCCCTTTTTTTCGAAATTTAAGATTTTATAAATCAGATTACAAGATTACATCTTAAAGTATTCACCCTCATTGTCTATAATCTTTTTCCATCTGATGAGTAAATTATAAATTCCATTCCTGAAGAATGACAGCTACTTGCTAGTTATGAAATTATCATTACATTTTTGAATATCTTTTTTCGAGTTGAAATGCTTCCCCAACAATTGATGTTGCATGAAAAAGACAATACTTTGACGGAGCCAGGTCTGGAGAGTAGGACAGGACTTTCCATTCTAATGCATAAATTGTGTCCCGCGTTTCTTTACAACGTGTGGCAGAACATTATCGTGTTGCAAAATCACGTGTTTTGTTTCTTATCCAGTACGGCTATTTTTGCTCTAACTGGTCGTATAAATTAATATTGATTTTGATAATATTCGGCAGCTATTGTCCTTCCAGGTGGAAGCAATTCATAATAGGTAATTCCTCGGAAATTCTAGCACATAGACAATAAAACTTTTTGCAATGCAAATTCGGTTTTGCTATTGAAGTCGACGGTTCCTCGGGATTAACCCATGATTTCCGTCGTTTGAAATTGTTATATAAGACTTATTTCATCGCCAATAACAATTTTGTGCAGAAAACTTTTCATTTTATGCCGTGAAAGCAAGGCAGCAAAAATCTCGAGTCTGTTTTTCTTATTCATTTCGTTTAATTCATGTGAAACTCATCGCTCTAACTTTTGAATCTTATCCAATTGTTTCAATTAGATAGATATTATTTGTCTGATGACTCCCAATCTTTCTGCTAATTTTTCTTACGTCTTGATCGGATTTTCATTGAGCAATTCCTCTGACTCACCGTCATCAAACTTTCTCGGTTTATCAAATTTTTTCATCTGAATGATCATCATCTTCCAAATTAAAATTTCCAGCTTTAAATCTTTGGTACCACTTTTTCCATGTTTTATAAAATACAGTGTTCTCTCTCAGTGCCGCATAAACCATAACGCAAATAATGCTTTTCGCCTCTTGTTATATTGTTTGAAATTGTTGCAAGACTAAATTCTTAAAGTGCTCATTAAGACTTTTCTTAAAAATAAAAAAAAACGCTCTTTCAGATGGCATCAGAAACGGGAAATAATTCGAATTCAGTCACAAGATATGATCGTAAAAAAAAGGGGAAGGAATTTATTTGCACACCTAATATTAATAAATTTGTAATTATATTTAAATTAATTATATTTAATAAATTTGTATTATGATTTGTATCATCGATTAATATTTTATAATAATATTGTTTATACTGATTGCAGAAAATCATCGATCAAAATACAAATATAATAATAATAAGAAAGTTAATCTCTAAACAGCCAACAATAATATATTTATATATTCAAATATAACTATCATGTTTTGGAAGTTTTGATCTGATTGATCATAGTATTTTTCTTTTTTTATTGATTTTTTAATCATTATTGATATATGTTAAAATATTACTATACAAAAATTATATTTTAACTGCAGCGTTACAACAATATATATCTTGATTTTTAATCTTTACTATAAAGAGAATATTCATATTCGAATATTTTTGAATATCAAACTTCACATACATATTTATATATATATTGTTGTACAATAATTATATATTCAAATACTTTTTTTTAACCATATTTAAAATGTTTATTTTATTTTCTGATCTTATTTGAATGTTCTTTTTCTTTGTTTAGAATATTAGAAAATGCTATATAAATATTTTCAAATTTTTTCAAAGATATTCTCATAGCAAAACATATCAAATACAAATTATTCGCGTTAACAATTTAGGAAATAAAAGCATTTAGAGAATAAAAATTAAAAATAAACAATAATTTCAGGTGCAACAATTTTCATTACAAGTTCTTCTTCATCCTTTAAAATTTACTGCTGGTGGTTACATTCTTAATAATAAATTATCAACAATGGTGAGTTGAATAAGTTGAATATATAATTTGATTATTTATTTAAGATTTTAATTTCTTTTTCAGTTTTTTGGTAATATAATGACTTCTATTATTATATTAATACAGATAAGTTCGTTGTTAAAAGAATATTTAATGAAAAAGAATGATGAAAAATGAAATTCTTAGACAAAATTTTTGGAAATTAGAGGTTATTATTTCTAAGATCATGATTATTTATAGCACATTATTGTAATAAAGAGATTATTGAGAAAAAAATATTAGAATTTTGACATTCATTTTTTACTTTTTTGGATATAAAACTTTCAAAATTTGGTAACTATTTTGAGAGTTACTCTATCATAATTTAAAATAAATAATTTTATCGAATTATCTCTATTCGAGAATCAACAATAAATTGATTGATAATGTCATAACAATAACAAGTGTTTTTTAGAAAAAATAATATTTTTTAATTTTAAGACTTCTAGGGTTATAGAATTCTCCATTAACGATCAATCTTTTAATCTTTACTTTTATAGTACTATCATTAGTAATGGAGATATAAAAAGCTATTTAAAAGATAAAATTGCGAAATTAGGCAAAAATTTATAAATTTGTATTTAATTATTAAATTTCTGATTAAACCGCGAAACATATTTATCTTCAAAAATTGTTATTCGCTTTGAGAAATCAATTATTATCAATAAAGAATTTTGTACGCTACAAAAAGCTGTTATTTTTTTTCGTAATTTTGTTCTTTTCGAGCTTTAATGTATTAACGTATTAATTGTAAATGATTTTCATGTGTTACATGCTTTTTATACTTATTTACAATTCTAAAAATTTGAGAAGTACAAAAGTTAATTATAAAAGTTTGAGTTCGAAATAGAATCGCAAAAAGAATAACATAACACAATCCTAAGATAATTATAAAGAATTTTAGAATTGTAATAATTTTTTCAAAAAAACCTATGTTGTATTATTTAAAACGTATTAAATATATACAACTCTTATCTTCTATTTATTTTATATTATTAGAACCCTATTTAGCTTATTTTATATTCTAATTTAACAGTTATAACAATTTATTGTGTAATAAACAGAGCAATAACTATCAATTTTTAAATACTATCATATCCATTTAGCGGAATGGTTAATTATAAGATGAAAATCTGAATTTAAATGAAGTTCGCATTCGAAATTAAAAAAGAATGACTTGGGTTTTTCATACAAAGAAATTGAAATAAGTCTATTAATAATCAGCTATTACTAAGATTAAAGCTACTATATAACTTTTCTTATTACAATATGTAACTAATTTTACTACAATTTATTATATTTTATTATTTACATTAAATTTATTTTTAAAAGGTTTGGGAAAAACGGTTTGGAAAAAAATATAAAAATGTAAAAATAAAGTAAAATAATACTTGGGTGAAATAGATAATGTTCAAAATTGTAATGATTGTAATATTAGTTTCATATTTCATATTTTATTATTATTATGCATTCAAAAAATACATATTTAAAAATTATCGAAATCAGGTACTTTTTTTTTATAATTATTTTTATTTAAAACAGTTTAATAAATTAAATATATTTCAATTACAGAAAATTATTTTATTACACACAACAATTATTAAGAAACAAGAAACGAATCTTGAATATTTACAAAAAACAATGCAATTCTTTTAAAAAACTGCATTCTGTGATGGTGCTACTTAAGATCTATTTTAGTAATTATATATTTAGTAATTATATATTTATTAACAAAAACTTACTATACATAAAATAGAATTTTGGAAGATTCGAGTGGAATATATAATACTTCAAAATTATTGAATATTAAACTTTACTAATTAGAATACTTAAATAAATGAATTTCGATATAAAACTATTATAAAAAACCATTATGTCTATCAATATTTAGCAGAAGATTCATTTTAATTTTTTGTGCAGAAGATGTGCATAAAAAATTAAAAAAAAATGATGTTTCGAATCAAAACAGCCTTCTTTTTTTTGATATGACTTATTAAAATTAAAAATTATAAATATATTTTATTTATTAAAAATCTTGAATATATACAAATAATTCAGTAAATCTTCGATTATGACATTCATTTGATTTAAATCTTGAACATTCTTTCTTATTTTCTTTTAGGAAATGTTTTCTTTTCTAAAAAATTAAAGAAAGCAAATTACTAATAATAAGAAGAAATGATTTTTTAAACAAAAATGTAGATAACTGAAAATTATAATTTAAAATAGAAAAATGCACAAAAAATGTTTTGTGTTTGAAAATTATTATGAATATATAAAATGAAATGGAAAATTTAAAAAAATATTAAATTTTCAATTTAATATATAAATTAAAATGAATAAAATAAAATTAAATAAAAAATTTTATAAATAATATATATAATATATTTTATATATATATATTTATATTTATATATAATACATATATTTATATTATATATATATATATATATATATATATATATATATATATGCAAAATAATATAAATTAATTAAATTAATATTATTTTATAATAATAAAATTATTATAAAATATTATTATAAAAATTATTATTATAAAATATCATTGAAATTATTAAATTTTATTAAAAGTAAATAAAATAAAAAAAAAATTAAAATTTGTTTAGCTATAGTGAATTAATATTCGACAATAAGCTTGAAATATTTATGGAATACATTCGTAGGACAATTAATTTTAAAAAATTAATTTTACAAAATTTATTTAATTATATGTTACTTTTATTGTCCTTTTACCAATTCGTTAGAAAAAATAAGTTATAATGTAATTTTAATTACATTATAATTGTAATTTTATACTGCTAATAAGAAATAGAAATATAGGAATATAAATATAAGAAGAAAATACAACTAATAATTTTAGATATGATAAATATATATAATATATTAGAAATCAAACTAAAAAGAAATTTACATAACATACATTACATAACATACATTTTTGAATTTGTAACTCAAAAATATAGAGTGATATATTTTTATATAAGGATTCATTTCCATATAAATGTTAAAAATTTTATGTATTCGTTGAATATTGACACCAAATTTCTGAATATTTTTGAATGTCTTTTGTTTAAAACAAAACATTTTTTTAATTTTTTAAAATATTTTCGTGCATATATTTGAAATTTGTTTTTCTTATAGAATTAAAATATATATTGGTAAAAAGTAATTTACTATTTTTAATAAATTTCACTTTTATTTATGAATAGCAAGTTGACAAATAATTTTTATATATTTTTAGAAAATAGTATTCTTAAAGAATATTTATAAAATTAAGATCATGCGGATATTAACGAATGAAACAAGATATATTTAAACACATTATATCATTTTTTTTTCTTGAATTGTGATAACAATTTTTCCTGCGTATAATAATTAAAAAAAATTATTTTTATTTTACTTCAAAATAATATTTATTGAATGGAATTTCAGAATGAAAAAGAACCAAATTATATATATACAAAAATTATATATTTTTTTTAATCATTATAAATTCTATAAAACATATAGTAAATCTGATAAAAAATAAAAATTAAATATATTATTGAATCAAATAAATATTCTGCTAGATATGTGAATATAAACTAATTTATTGTCTCATGATTAATATTTCTATGAAATACGTTAAATGAATAAAAAAAAATGAATAAAAAAAATTTGACTTTGAATTTCAAGATCAACGTCATTTTTGTATGTATTTTTATTTTCAAATTTTCATCGATCCAGAGATATCATACTTTTGTATTCATGCAATGGTCTGTAGATTTATTTTTTAATTGTACACTATGTACAATAAGAAAAAAGCTGCAAAAATCATTTTATGTTTCTGCATTAAGAAACTAAACGGTTATACAAAATTCAAATTTCTTACATGAGATTTGTCATTCTAAATCATAATTCTGCAAGACAGCATTTTGACACAAAAACAACTCAAACAACTCGGACATAAACAAATATTTACTTTAGAAAAAATGATCTTGTAAAAAATTAACCTGTGCATAAATAGAAAATTTATTAATGATATTAGCTAAAAATATAAAAATAATTAATAGAAATAATATAGAAATATTTAATATTTTCATTATTTAAAATAATAGAAATAATATCTAATATTTTTATATAATCATTGAATAAACCAAATTTTTAAATTACAGTAAATCAATAAAATGATAGATCTTCTTAGTTTAATGCTAAACAAAGATAATAATAAATAAGAATGGATATATATATGGATAAACACAATTTGAAACTCAAATTGAAACGCAATTAGCCACAGAAAAAAATTTTGGAATTAAAAATCTCTTTACACGTTAATAAAATCAATAATATAATGTCTATTTCAGAAATTTATTACTAAAATTTGTATAAAAATAAATAAAATAAATGTAAAAAATTCATCATAAATAAAAAAATTACATAAAAATTCCATTTTATAATACAATTTTATACGATATTAAATAATCATTTGGTAATGCAATATGAAAATCAATAATAATCATTAAACAAAATTTTTTTTTTTTATTTCTTTATCAGACCTATATATTATCTTATTGTAATAATAAACAATAACAAACAATATAAAATAAATATGGAAACATATTGACAACAAATCTATTATCCCTCAGAAAAACATGTTTTTCTTACAAATTCTTTCAAATCATTAGGGGAATTAGAAAATTTTAATGTCGATAAAGATTATAAAACAAAATATTTATAATATATAATTATATATATAATATAATTATATAATTATTATATAATATTATTATATAATATTATATATAATATTATTATATAATATAATTATTATATAATTATATAATATAATTTATAATATATAATATATAATATATAATATATAATTATAATATTTTATAAGATTTTAAAATAAATAGTCAAGGAAAAAAATTTTAAAATAAATAAAAAGTTATTTTTATAAATAAAGAGCTCACATATTGATCGATGTTTCAAGAAAACTTTTCAGATATTATATTTTAAAATAATTAAAAAATTATAAAGACAATTTTATTATTACAAATTTAAATTATTTTAAAACAAAATCTTATAAATCTCAACTCGGATTGTTAACAATTATTTAATTGTTATTTAATTTAAACAAACTAAAAAAAATTAGAAATAAACATAAATTATTATATTATAAATTAAAATATTTCTAAAAATTTTCAAAAATAATGATAATACATTTTACAAATATAATTTTAGAAACAGACCGAGCCTAATAAAAAGTTGAATTTAGAAAAATATTCCTAACTTATCCCGAATATATTTTATAAAAAATTAAATTAAAACAAAAGTTAAAAATTACTTGAAAAAAACAAAAAATACAAGTCAACAAATAAAATAAAAACTAAACAAAATAAAAACTAAATGAAATTATCAAATCAAATGTAGGAATTAAAAAAATTCAAAATTTGTCAATAAAAGAATTTCAGAATATTTTTATATTAATATTTATCTAATTTTGATAAATATCACTTAATGATACTTAGTAATTATTCATTAAATATTCATTAATTTTTAAAGTGAAAAAAAAAATGATTAGAATATTGAAAATATTATTTCTCTATTTATCACAAAAAATAGATTCCAATTGCAAGAAACATTCATAAAAAAAAAATCATTATTTTTGTCTTAAAAATATTATTTATTATAAAAAACGTTGAAATTTAATTTACCATTCTATTTCATTATATTTCATTACATTTCATAAAACTTCATTCACAAATGTTGAAGCTGACTCAAGTAAGATAATTATATTAGACAAACTACATTACAATAAAAAAAATTCATTACAGAAATATGAAATTAAAAATCTTCTGGCATCAATCTAATCAATAGTAAAATTTTTTAAGAACTTCCACCAAAAACGATAAGAATACTAATAGCCTTTGTCGTATTAAGAATCAAACAATTTCCTCGTTAAATGAAAATAATAAGTCTTTATCTAAATCAAAAAAAAGTTCATTTATTTTCATTTTATAGATTGATCATATTATAGATTGATTATAGATTTATAAACTGAAATATAAAAAAAAATAAAACTACTAGAAAAAATTATATTACTTAGTATGAAGAAGAAAAATGAAAAAGATAACGAAGAAAAGAAATCTAATATATCTCATCAATTTGGAACAATTTGCTACAATTGAGTAAATTCATTGATATAAAATCATTTTCGATTTTAAATAAAAGAAATACACTGTTCTTTTTCTAGATATTGAAAATCTTTTAGTAAAATTTGGTATGAAAATTTTCTAAAAAATCAAATAAAATTTTCCTATATTCTATCATTGGCTTCTGAAATCATATTTGAAAATTTAATAAAAATTCACAATTTGAATTCGAACATCTTCAACATTAAAACAAAATTTCTATAAGACAATATTGAAAAATTGAACAGTTATTAAAAATATAGAAAATAAAAATGATGAACGTAGATATATTATATTCATCTTTCAAAAAACTAAAAATAATAAAAATATATAATAATGATTCATCTATACCTTTAAATAGTGTCATTCCTCCAAATCAAAATATTAAAGTATATATATTTGAATTCGCAATTTACGAATGAAAATAACATATATGTGCCAAAATCGAACAAAGCCGTATTAAAAGAAAATAAATGCATTGGTTTATTAATAGGTATTCAAAATTAAACATGGAAAATAAACTTTTTTTATACATCAAAAGCCATATAACTAAATTGGAAATATTACAATCCTTAATTCTTCCAATTATATTCAGAACTGTATTGCACAATACAAAAATGCACAGTATATGAATAATGATGAAATACATAAAAATCTCATGATTAAATTCGAAGAAATAAAATATTTAAACGATAAATACCAAACAAGATTAAAGATTATCCAAACAATTTGATTATAAATCTATATTCAGAAATTTTATTCAGGCTTCATAGGAAATCTTTTTTACATATATATAATAGATAAATTTAGAATAAAAATGTATTTTCAAATGTCCTAAATCTAATAGTTTCTTAAAAATAAAGAAATTTTTTTCAAGTAAAAATCTATTCCAGTAAGATAATAAGTTTTAAAATGCTAGAAATAAATTCTAAAACATAATTAACAAATAATTAATAAAGTATAATCAAAAATACAACTTAATTAAATCATACAAAATCAAATAATAAATGCAAAAAAAGATCATAAAAAAGAAAAAGTCTGATTTATTGATTACATAAAATAATAAAATAATAATATAATATTATATCATAGCTATATGAAACTATATGATTGCGGGATAAATCATGAATTCAAATTTAAATATGAAATAAGAAAAAAGAAAGATATATACTAGATGTAAAATAAAAAAAAATATATTGATTACATTATTGATCAAAATATTCTATATAAAATGAAGCTTTTATATAAAATTTTTATGAAGAAAGAAACTTCTAAAAAATAATAAAAATTCTTATTAACGAAAAGTTATTAAAAGTTATAAATAAAAGATATAAATAATATTATAAAGATATAAAAATAAAACACTGTTTAGATATTGAATAGATAATACAAGATGATGCTGCGAGGATAATGCTGTTTTTGAGAGAAGAATTTGAATGATCCTTCGTTTATTATATTTAAAAACAATTCAGCGTAACAACCTGATCTTTTGGCCTGAGACGATATTTTCTATCCATGCCAATATCAAAAGCAATTAGCATTATCTTATTTGAGAAAAATTATTACAAAGACTTGATCAATTTCCTAGGAAACAACGGACTTTGTGGCATAGCACTTCAGTCTTATTCCAGAAATTTTTCTTGGATTAGAAGTGTCGTTCAATCAGGGGACCAGTCCACAATATAATTGATTGCTTATGTACTCCACTAAAGACTCGTGATCTCGCGAGATGAGCATAGAGGGAGTTTTAAAAAGTACCAACGTTTTGGAAGAATTTTTTGAACTTCAGAACTTTTAGAATCTTCTAACCGTCAGAACTTTTAGAATCTTTTAACCTTCAAGAATTTTTTGAGCTTAGAAGTCTTTTAAACTTATAATTTCGAAGTTTAATGATAACGTGAATCTTCATTAGCATATAAATTTTGCTTTTGATCGCTTTACAATCGAATTTGTTAACAACGAACTTTGTAATAAATCATTTTTATTATTATATAGCATTAATAGCTCTAGGAACAAATTGGAATTAATAGATATACAAGACAATTATTTTAACATTTTTTAACATTGTAATTAATTGGTTTTATTACTATATATCATAGAAATGGGTTGGAGCTAATAAATACTATACGTAATTACTAAAATTTTGCCAGTATATTATATTATATATATATATATATATATATATATATATATAAAACATGACTGTACACAATAAAATTTTGAAATAAAGAAAACTAAAATGAAAATCTGCAAATATGTTACAAATTTATACTTAAAACATGATTTAAACATTGAAATATCGAAACATATAGAAAGTACGGATCTTTATAAACTGAAAAAAAAATATGAAAAAGTGAAGACTTAAAGATTTTATCACAATACATTTTAACTTTCATTAGTCTGATTGTAGAACTAATCTTAATCTTGGAAGAAAATTAAATTGAAAGTAATTTTTTAAAATGAAGAAAAAAATTATATTCTTCATTTTAATTTATATTCATTAATAAATAATAAAGTTTGCTTTCTTAAAGATATAAAAACATATAATTATAAGTATAGTTCCAGATAATGTGACGATTATTTTTAATTGCATTAGTTGTATGTAGTTGCATGTAGTCATAAATGAAATATGAAGGAGGTTATACAATATACAAATAGGTAAAACCATTTATTTTATAGTTTGCAATAATATGTGGTATTTTAGAAGAAATATAAAAAAAAGAAAATATTAATTATTAAAAAAAAAGTGAGAAATTATTTATTCAATAAATAAGTATCATTTTTTATTATCATATTTTCATCATAATATATTTTCATCATAATTTTTATCAGAAAAAGTAAATATAACTATTTACTTTATATAATTTTTATCAGAATAAGTATAATTATTTACTTTATATAAGAATAACTATTTATTTATTACTATTTATTTTTGAACACAGTTAAGAAAAATATGAAAAGTAAGTAATATGAAAAAATATACATCTAAAAATATATATCTAGAATTCTTCGTTATATAAACAATTCATATAAAATAATCTTTTTTCACAATAATAATTATAGAGAAATTCTGTTCATTTTATTAAAAAGATTCGTTTCATCGATAAATTCAGAAATTAATCTATTTTTTTTATTTCTATGTTAATATTTAGAGAATTCGACACAATTTAAAAAAAATTTCACTATAAATGAATTTGGAAATTTATTTATCTTTAAAATTCTATTTATTTACATTATTTATTTGAGAAGACATTGTTTATAAAAATCTGTTCCAAATTATATGTGATTATTTTATTAAATTATATTGTAAATTTTTTATAAAGATTTTATAAAATTATTATATTATTATAATAAAATTATATAATTATATTTTATATAATATAATTATATAATTTTATAAAAATCTCTAGGATTGTTATTTGTCATAAATTTATTTATCATAATTTTAATATATACTATTCTTTTAGACATAACAATTAATGCACTTAAAAACTTATTATGGATACCAAAAAGTCAATATGCTTCGCTAATACATATCATTATTTTTAATGAGATATTTGGTCTACGAGTATTTGAATGGAAAAAACGATTACAATATGGCTGGAGCATACTATATGTTGGTATATGTATCATTTTATATGTTGTATTTTTGAATATAGCAATTAATACAAGTTATAAAAATTGGCCTGCATATTAAAAGATCAGTTATAAACTGATATCATATATTAGTATTATATGCATAATGATTTTTATAATTCTTGGAATTCTGAATACAAAAGTAAGTATAATAACATTATTATAAAATTAACTTAATTATAAAATTAATATTATTATAAAATTAAAATAATTATAAAATAATTAAACAAAATAGAAATATCAGAAGAAAACTTTTATTTTTATATAAAATAGTGTCCAATTTAACGTTGCAATTTTTATTAATTTTAATGTTTATTGCTATTCCTATTAATGTTTAGAAATGGAATCTCAAAATCAAGTTTGTCAAATAAAATAAACTACTGAATTTTGATCTTTGGATTGATTCTTTATCAGATTTATATGCATTTCTTCTCTTTCGTTTAAATTGAATTTGCAAAGTAAAATTTATCCAAATTTGCTTGAATTGCAGGTATTATAATAAGCACTGTTATTTTTAATTTTAATTATAAATTATCACATCAAAATCATTATTACATCAGAAATATAACGTATTTATAATGACATTATTATAATAACATTAATGAGAAATTTTTGAAGTATTTTTTTAATTAACATTCTTAATTATCAAAAAATGGAATATTATCAAATATATTTCATAAAAAGATTTTCTCGTTTTTTAATTTAATTTTTATTAAAGAAGAAATCAAAATTTTAAACAATTTTTTTTCTAATTTCATAACTATCTAATTTTAGTTTTCGAATATTTGCAAAAAAAATTGTTACGCGCGCGCGTATATGTACAAAAATATATCAAATTACTAAGGAATGATAAAATAAAATATAAAACAATCGATATTGCAATGATAAATTGTAATAATAGATATTAATAGATATAATTGCTCATTTTTCTCATAAATGTTTGATGAGGTGAATGTTTGGATTTATAAAATAATAGTAATTGTTTTTGTCAAATTGAAATAAAATTTCTTAATTGATATTTTTAAAAAAATATAAGCATTTAAAAATATAAAATAATTTTTAAAAAGAAAATTTTTCAAATTGTATAAGTTTTATTGATCATAAATATTCAAATTCACGAATATTGTAATTGGGGTTTGTTATAATATAATTACATACAAATAGTTGTAATTTTGATAATAATCGAATCTAATTAAAAGTTAATTATGAATGATATAGAATTATAGAATTATAGAATATAGAATTATAGAATTAAATTATAGAATTATAGAAAGAAAGTATTTATAAGGAGTAAGTAGATGTGAGATTTGTCCTATTTTATGACTTCTAATATGATTCGGAGAAAATTTTCTTGCACTAAGAAAATTTCTCATTATTGTCTTCTATATTGTTCCTTTTCTATTAATATAATATATTGGATGATGTTACTAAAGGATGTATAAGATAAAGATAGCAATGTCTCTTAAAATTTTAAGATAGTGCATTTTAATAATAATAATAATAGCTTCGTAAGTAATTGTATATTGGTACCATATTAAGTTAAGTTTTTTAGTAAGAAATTCACTTTCTATGTATATTGTTCTATATTGTTCTATATTGTTGAATGAAACAATGTAAACAATATTAATTTTAAACAAATATTTTACTTCATTTCAAATATAATGAAATATGGAATAATATATTGATATTATTATGTTCAAAAGATTTTATATTCGGATCAAATTATAAATTTAAAAAACGATCTTTATTAATGATTTTCATCCTGAATGATCAACGACTTTGTTATATAGCAAACATATAAAAATATCGATTACCTATCAGAACATGAAATATAATACAAACCAATTATTTTGCTAGAAGAAACTAGTTGCCATACTAATGAAATTATTATATTATGTGTTGCTATTAAGTAATAATATATTATATTGTATTAGCATTATATTATATTATTTATATTAAAAATAAAATATTTACTGCATACGTTCTGTAAATCCAAAATCATAGCAAATATATAAATATTTTTACAATAATAAATATTAATAAAATATAGTTTAATGTAGATCTCGTCTGAAATATTTCTTATCTAAAATTTTGCTCGTTTTTTTTTGATTTATAAAAATAAAAAAAAAACTCAGATAGATAAAATTTTATTTTAGAGAATATATAATTATTTATTCGATAACATACAATATTCAATGATATGAATTACAAATTTAATAAAATATAAAATTTTGATATTTTTTGTCTTCACATACAGAATTAATATATTCATGAGTTATAAGTTTGAAGACTCTATTTAAAATAAATATAAGAATATCGAATGAAATTTATTTATTAAGTTTTAGTGATTTGCTTTAGATGAAACAAAATATACAAATGGAATGAAATCGTTTTGCTTCTGCCAGCGTAGATTCATTCTTTTTTCGTTTCATCTAATTTCATAAATTTAAATTGATTATTTTTTAGTGAATAAATCAATCAATATTTTTGAACGTTAATTTCTGTATTTATTTTTATTATCAAAGTCGAAAAATGATCTATATACATTAATACATTATATTACTAATTTTTTCACTTTTTTAATATTTTTATATTTCTCATACTTTTCTTCTTTTTACATTGTAGTGTTTGAGAAAATTATTAGAAGATGTGAACAAATAGACAATACCTTAAAATCATTTGGAATCGAGAAAAATTATAGAAAAATCTTCCTCTTAATTGCACAAAAATTATTTATGTTCAGTATAATAATGATAAATATTATCTTATTAAATTACTATTGGTGTATTAATAACTATGAACGAGAATTTCAATTTTTAAATATTTTTATATATATACCAACAACAATAATATGTTTGGGAATTTTTATCTTCACTATATTTGTAAGGTAAATTATTTAAAAAAAATGTTTATAAACTTAAAATTGTTGAATAGAAAGATATATAATACGATGATAAAGATATTTCTGGAATTAAAGTCCAGTTTTTTTATTTTTTAATAAAAATATATAATAATGTATTTTTGAATTTCTTATAACTTAATATAAGATAATAAAATAATATATTAAATATAAGATAATATTAATAACAATTAATATTAGATTATTTATATGCATTAAATAATTTAATTAATTATACATATATAACAATTAAATTTAAAAAGTATTAATTTTCAACAATTTTAATTTCATTAGTTTTCTAAACTTGCTTACTTGTAAACTTGCTTGTTTAATTGTAAACTTATTTATTTTTATAATTTTTTCAAAAATGAAACAATTGAAAAATTTTTATATATTTAATAATATGATATAAATATAAGAAAACAAAGATTTTTAAATAAAAAGAAGAATATATCACATCTCCTAAATTTTCATTTTAGATTGCAATACATTTTTTAATTTTTACATTTAATATTTAATATTTAGTCATTTTCTTTTACTTTTTATCGTTTGATGAAAGAATCAAAACTAATTAACCAAAAAGAGATAGATACTAGTAATTAAATAATTTAAAATTATATCATCTCAGTTTAAGAAAATTACATATTTTTTTATTTTCTGTAACATGGTTAATTTCTAGCTTCTTCTGATCATAAATTTTTTTGCCAAAAACAAGATTAGATTTTCAATAGTATCGATAAAAATATAATGGCTATGATAATGAATGAATTTATAAATTATTTAAGTTATTTATTTCTTGTTGCATCAATAAAGGCATTTCTGAAAAAAATAATTTTCTTACCAATCTTCTATTAATATTATAAATGACATCAAATAATTTTATAATAATTATTGATTTATTTTGAAATGTATTTGCAATTTTGTGAGAAAAAGAATTAATTTAAAAAATTAAATATCAAAGATTATATTATAATTTTCTTATTTTTTTAAATTCATCAAATAAAAAATTATTATAATTTTCTTATTTTTTTAAATTATGATAAATAATAATTATTGAAGTATTATTTTATGAAATCATTTAATTATTAAGTCTAAATTTCAAATTAAATTTTTTCTTATTATAAAATATTTTTTTCAATATTTTTTAGTAGATTTTTTTTTAATTTTGCTAATATGTTTTTGTAATATTAGCATTTAAAATATTTAACTTTGATATTTAACTTTTCTAAACCAATCTATTTTGTTATATGACTGGAATCGCATTTCATATTAAATTATTTAAATAATTATTATCACTTATAACATTAATGAAAAAAATGAAAATATTTTTTCTTAGCAGAATTTTCATTCATCATGCATCATTTTTAATATAAATCAGAGTCAATATCAGATCTAATCTTATATCAGATCTAGAATTATCAATAAGATATTTTGGCGAGTCCAAAATATATGGCATAGTTTTCTCTGAAAATGATTTATAAAAACTAATTTGTAAAAATTACATGCTCGATCAGCTAACTAAAATTATCTATTTGGGATTCTGATAAATAAAAATTCTGGATGAATAAAAATGGATTTTTGCAAAAATAGCAATGTTATATATCATATATCAACATATCTTGGCAATATTTAATGATATAATTTAAAAAATAAATAATTTAAAAAGTTTTAACATTTGAAGTTGTTTGAAATTAAATGATTATGAAATCACGTCTCAGTTAATCAATGTGCCACTTTCTGAGTAACAGTAACAATAAATATTTTAATCAGAGAAATAACAGTAAATATTTTAATTAGAAAAAGATATTGGTAAAAATATTTTAGCTAAAAAGAAGTATGTACATATTTCTGTAATGATAAATTATTAATATTTTTTTTAATTTTATACATATTCAAAAATTAGATAAAATCTTAAGATGATAAATTTTTATTTTATTTTATTATTAGTTGAAATGTTCATTCAATTAGCGAAAACCAAAAATGACTTATATAATTTACAGTTGCTAATAATTATAAAAAAAACTTTGAAATAAGAAAATCTTTGAATTAAGCTTAATTGAAATAAAATTTTAATGCATTCAATTTTATTATATTGTATGTATTATATGTATTCAATTTTATTATCATGATATAGATTTATTAATAGATTTATTAATAGATTAAAAGAAATATGAGCAAATAGACATGAATGGAACGAGAGCGAGAATAATTTGGATTAAATTACTAGTATTTATAGTCACTTGCTCAATCAAAAATAAAGAATAATTTATTGAATGTAAGGATTAAAAGTACAATTACACATTGAGTTATATTTTTTTATAAATACAATTCTAGAAAAGAAATTTCTAGAAAGAATATTCTTTTTTTTTTATATTTAAGAAAACAATTTTTTGTTTCTTCATTTTTTTTTCTCATTTCTCTTGCATATTACATTATGAAAATACGTAGAATTTTTTCAATTTTTGTTCTTTATTCTTGTGAAAATTATAAAAATATGGTTGTTCGCACCTGCAATAGTATAGTAGTATAGTAGTATTGTATTGGTTTTGATGGATGTAAACTGGTGTTTGTCGAATATCTTTCGACAGATTTCGTAACAAATGGTATAGTTCTTAAAAAAAAATACTTCTAAAAAAAAATGTTTACTCATGCAGAGCACAATTATTAGAGAGCAGAATCTCTCACAATGTCACAGCAGATAATTGTGTCCAACGATAAAAACACGATGTGTTCACAAAGTATCTAATTATCGTATCCGGCGATCAGACGACGTGATCACAAGATTCTAGGCAAGTGACGCTCGTGCCCTTAAAAAAAACACCTGTTTGGTTTAATTGGGAGGATCATAGTTTCCCGGTGGGATATATCAATAACTAATAATATCGCGGCCGATTCGCGATACCCAGTAAATTCGAGGAAATTTCTGCCTTGGATGGTGATTTATACAAAGTTTTCACGATAAACAGGAACAGATCGGCGCATCTCTCTTATAAATTTCTCGAAATAGAACAATATTATTTGTCTTTGAATCAATCGTCGCGAATCGTGTCTGGAATATATCACCGTTAGGATCGATTCAATTGATCTGAAATATGTTAGAAATATACAATTATAAGTGTCAATTAAATTCTCAAGACAATCTTCTCAGATAACACTTCTTTGCTTAGGCTTAATAAAAGCTCGTGTGCATTAAGAACAAAAAGAGTTTTTTATATGATATTTTTTCAAAATGAATAAGCTATTTATAAATTTCGCAAATAATAAGTATTCGCGAACAATGTATAAGTTTATAATTATTCACAATATTGTATTTATTTCAATTATTTGAATTTTTTAAGAATTTTAGAAGATAAATTACATAAAATGAACAAGATTATGAAAGAAGTATATCAGTTATCAAGTATAAATGAAATTAATACAAAGTATAAGATGCAATCACATATCCCACGTAAATTCGTAATTGTAATGAATTTTTATAATAGAAATCATTTTATTCAACATGTTCTTCAAGTTACAAGGTATATTTGATAATTTCAATGCATAGAATTCTATAGTTTTGTAATATTATATAATTTAGTACAGAGAAAAATCGAGTAGCAGACAGTGAATAACTTAGGACATTTTTAATGTATTAATTATTTATGTTGAAAAAATTGTAAATTAACAATGATATTTATATCAAGGCAATACATGAGATTCTGTCTACTGTGAGTCTCTACCGTGAGACTTCCGTATCCATATTCATTATCTGATTATCCTAATATACGTTAGACAACGTAAATACAATATATTTAGATGTAATAAATACTTTCCTGTGATCGGCCGGTTAAATAATATCAATCATATCAATTCAGTCTGAAGGAAAGAACGGTATCACAATCGCAAGTAAACGACAACTTATAGTTTTAACGTATAGGCGCAACGCGTTTTAAGGGGATGTAATTCTACGCAGCTTCTTATAATAAAAAAATATGGAAGCTAAAAAAATATGGAATCCTTAGATGTTGAAAAAAAACTGTTAATTTTAGTTTAATGTAAAAGAAAGTTCTATTATTCGAAAATTTCATTATCCAGCCATTTTTGTCTCCCTATTAGTTTGGATGCGGGAGTCTTACTATACTAGTTTTACTATATTAAAATCAATTTTTTATTGAAAGTAATATTATTCAACATTGATATTTATAAATTTCACATTATAAATACCTAATGTTCATTATTAATATTTTATTGATTTTATTAATATTAATATTAATTGTAAATATTTCATTCATGTTATGTCATATATAAATTGATGACAAAAATATTAGATGAAGTTAATCGGTAAAGTTAATAAATAATTTTCCAGATATTTTTAAAATTTAAAATATACAAGGCATAAAATTATACATATTTTGAAATTTTATTTTATATTTTTAAATTAAAATTTAATTAAATCAATTAGATTTAATGGACAAAACTTCGATATACTAGAATTTATTTTTTTAAATCGTGACATTTAAATATAATATAATTTTTTATATAATTTTTTTAAATCGTGACAGAATAATTATATATACTCTCGTAATGCATTAATTCTGATTCTTTTTTTCAGACTTATTTAATGTTTTTTTTTTATTCTATTTGTAATAAATCAAAAAGTTTATATATTTTTTTTCCGAAAAAAAATGTCATTATTTCAATTTATAAATTACTTATCTTTTTTATGACTTAAGACTATTTCTAAATCTAATTATTGTATTTAAGACTATTCCTAAGACTATTTTCTTTTCTCTATTAATGCCAATATCTTTCTAATTTGATAAAAATGATAATATTATTTTATTTTCTATTAATCTATTTCTCTTTTATTGTTTTAAGGTATATTCATTTTGAAATTCTTATACTTTCACGTAAACTTAACCAAGCATATGCTTATCAAATTCTATTAGACTTAATAGTACAATTTTCATTATTATTATGTATACTTTATAACATATATTTTTATTTAATATCATTAAATTTATCAGAAATGTTATATGATAAAAAAATTATACGATCTTTAATATGGGTTCTTCTACATTCTACAAAAATTATTCTTTTAAATATTCACTATACTAATTTCTATTATGAGGTAAGATTATATTTTTTATATTATAAAAGAATTAATATATACATATAGATATATATGTAATGCTAGAATTTTGTAGGTAGAAGTAACAGCACATTTACTTCGAGAACTAAATATTTGCTACTTGGATAATTCCATTAGAGACGAGGTAAGATTCACATTAATGTAGCATTTTTTATATTAAAATTTATTTTGATTTATGTTTGCCAAAAATTATTTCTTTTATATGTTTTTATATTGTTGCTTTGTTTAATCATTCCACTTTATTGATTTGTTAAAAAGATTGAAATTGATTTTGAACATGATTTCAAAATTTAATTATTTTTTATATAATATTCATCACGAAGAATAAAAATTCAAAAATATATCATAAAAATATCATTTTTAAAGTTTTATGTTTATTTAAGTTCATTTTGTTTTCAGAATGCTATAAAGTCCTTTTTTTTATGAGATATTTTTTTACATAATATCTCTTTTTTTGTAAATTTTTACAAAATAATTTTTTTTATAAAATTCTTATTTTTAAAATAAATATTTACAAGTGACTTTCAGAATTTTAAAATTTGTAGTAAATGCTACGATATAGAAAAAAAAATTTCAAGAAATATATCGCGATATACTAAAAGATTGCTACGTACAAGATTGGTACCAAGATCGATTTTCAATAATTAGTCAAATAATTTCAAGATAATATTTGAAATATTATGAATTCTGAAATTGTAGATCTTTTGCAATTTGTTTAATATCTAATAATAAAATTTTCGATAAATAATAATTGGATCAAAATTCTTGAATATATTGAATATTATAGAAGATTTCAATCCAATAAAAAATATTATATAAATTTTTTAAGAAATAATAAAGCAATATCTTTTTTTATATTTATATTATATTTATATTATATTTATATTATATTTATATTATATTTATTTATATTTATATTATTTTTTTATATTATTTATTATTATTTTTATATTTTAATATATATTTTAATATATATATAATATAATATGAAAAAAAGTACCATATCGATTGAGATATACTATTGTAAATACATATGGATAAAATTCTATTTTATACTATCCAAGTTTTTTGCGAATAATTCGAAAAATAAAATTTGTCAGTTTATTCACTTTTACTACAAAGATTATTCAAAATAGATGATCGCAAAGTAATCAGATCTTCTCTTTGATTTCAATAATTTTTAACTATTTTATAAAGAATAAAAATTTAAATAACTTTTTTTTTTTAATAATTGGCCTTCATTTTCGAAATACTTATGAAAAATATTATTATATAAAACTTATTTATTCGTCTATACGATATAAAATATGTGTCATGTATACGATTGATATTTTTTCAATTGTTTATATAAACACATAAAAGTAAAAAACAAACAAAATGTATAATAGGTGAACTAATATTATCAGTTTTGATATTTATTCATATAGAACATTTCGTGAATCTTTATCAGATATAATAATAAAAAATAAATATAGAATAACTATTAGTTAAATGATAAAAATTGCAATTAATAATATTACTAATATTATAAAATAAATGATAAACATGATATTAATATCATTATTATTGTCATTATAATTTCAGTCATTGTAATTTCACTCGTCTAAATTGTTTAACTGTAATATGGTATAACCCAACTATTATATCAAATTGAAATTTGAAAGAGTGAATGGTTAGGATTTCAAATACAAAATTTTAAATGCGATTATTCATTAATTTTCGAAATAAAAATAAAAATCTGTGTGTATGTACATGTGTGCACCCGCGCGTGTGTATGTGTATGTGTGTGTGTTTCGTAACAGTGCATTACTCAATTGCCTCTTATTTATTATTTCTATAAACACATTAGCTAGTATCTAAAATGTATAATGGAATAATATTATAATAATGGAATAATGAATTATAATATAGCTAATGTATCGTAAGTTTAGTTATTATAATTTTTAATCGTTCAAAAGTTATATGCAAGCTTACTGATATCAAAGTAGAGGATACTAACAAATAATTATAATGATATTAGCACATTTATTATACATATTTTGAATATCGATTATCACAGTGTATTTTTAGAAACAGTAGATAAGCGATTATATATTGATATATATCCTATCATAGACGTACAATCAAAATTTAATATAATAATAGCAATAATTTATTTTTTTATCAAATTTTTATTAAATTATTTTTGTATTAATATTTTGAAAACAATAAATTTATAACAATTCAAATTACAATCATTGTAATTCTTGATATAATTTTTTGATTAAGCTATCTTACAATTCTAATACTACATTTTAATCCTACATTCTAATACTTTATTCTTAAATGTTTTTATTTGTTATTTTTAAATGTATTTATTATTAAATGTTATAAAAATGTACTAAAAAATACCACTAAAATATATTTACTATGGATATTCTTCTATAAATCTATAATAAATGAGATGAATATATTAACTTTTTTTCTTTTATATTTAATTATATAATATTTTGATAAATATTTATTTAATAATATTTTTCAATTTGAAATTTGATTTTTTGATTATTTAATGAATTTATAAATTCTTTTCTAAGTGCATATCTTGTAATATCATTTCTATTAAAAAATTTTTATACTTATATTTATATACTTTTTATATTTATTTTATATTATTGTGTGAGTATATTTGTATATTTTTATACATTTTTTTTGTATATTTTTATCATTTATATTTATATTTCTTTATATATTTAATACACTCACTTTATATTGTTAGAGAATATTTGTATTCATATTTGTTGAATATAATGAAAGTAAATTCAATTTATTTTCATCATATGAATTTTTATTTAAAATATTTATGTTGAAAAATAAAACTTAATTTGATTGTTTTTAAATATCTTTATGTCTTACTATACATGCATGCATATATAGACAAATGATATTTCCAAAAAAACATAAAGCGAAAGTAGAGAAAATAGGAAGAAAGGTTGTGTCACATCAATATTATTTTTTCATAATATAGAATGGCATTGTTGTCCATACATTTAATTATTTATTTTTATATTTCTATTATATTTCTATATTTTATATTCCATAACATTGTCTTTTATTGTTCATAATTCACAATTTTCACAGAATTATATTTTAATTACATTATATTATTTTCTTTGAGATCTTTTACAAAATGATATTTTGATATTTAGTATGCACATTTTTTTTCTGCTATAATTGCTGGAATATCGTACATAGTTTTGTCTTTAAATTAATTGATAATCAATAATTTTATTAAAAGTTTTATTTTTATAAAATTCAAATTTTACAGCAGTTTTATAAACTATAATCTTTTTTGATATGCTTCACTTAAAACATATATATTTTGCTTTGAAAAAATTGTCTACTTTTATTGAAAATAAATTGAAAATAAAACAGTGTATATTTGATCTGTTATGCTTTACATTATTTTCACTATATTCGCTATTTGATTTTTTATTCTGCATTTTATCAAATCCATATCTACATACTCAATTAATCATTTCTTTTATTGCATTCTAATTTCAATTTATAATCTAACATACATTTTAAGTATAATATGACTTTTTTTTATTTTCTGTTAGATCTTTCTATTTAATACCCTCACACTTGTAATTATGTCTAGTTAAAGAAAGATTGCAATATACATTAAAAAATATTATTTTATAATGATTTATCCTGAATTTCTTTATAACCAGTATCCATCAATATATATAAGCATTTTGCTTCTTCTAGATCTTATATTTGCAAAATCTTATATATTTTCTCTATAATTATAGATATATGTAATAAATTAATAGATATATGTAATAAATTTTATCTTTATTATAAATCTATGTTATATTATAACATATATATATTTTATTATTTTTAATTATTTTTAAAATATATTTATTTCAATACGAATTGTTTCATATGAAACTCCTTTTGATTTTATTTTTATGTATTGTATTATTATATTAACCAATAAACTATTAACCAGTAAAAAGGAATATTTTTTATACAATACTGTTGTTTTACTTGCTTTTAATAATGCTTCGTTCATTAACCTAGATTCGATTGCATTTTCCTGTGTGATATCCTGCATATCTATTTAATTTTAAAAACACTTTTATTATTTTTATTTTTCGATCTTCACTTTTTTCATTTTGTGCATTCTATTTTCTTACTTCATATTTATCTTTTTTCATTTCAAACTTTATTTTTATTTCTATTTTCATAATCATATTTTTTTTATTTTGAGATTTTTTTAATTTTTTTTTTTTTTTTTTACATACATTATTACATTATAAATTATGTATTATTCTATAATTTTATTTGTTTTTAAATTAATTAAGCAATATGAATGTCTTATTATATTTCACAAAATATAATTTCTTAATTTTGTTATTGTGTTACGTTCTAGCATCTGTATATATGTTCCAAATGCATGTAATACTCTGGTTTCATCAAATACTCATATCTTATTATAGTCTGTTTATAATATTTTGAAGAAAATTTGCCATTATTATTACCTCATTCTAATGTTTCTTTATTAATACAATAAATATCATTTCAATTAGATATCTATTTTATCTCTCTACTGTCTCATTCTATTGCAAATACAGCTCTTATTTTTTCATTCTTTAAATAATTTATTAATTCATATTACATTAACATATTCTTTCCCTTTATTTAATCTGATATTTTATTTATTTTTTGTGCATGCAATATATTCTTTAATAAAAATGAAAGTTTTAATTTATTTATTAATAATTAAATCTTACATATATCAATATCATTAAGTATTTTTTTGCTGCTTATAAAAATTGTTTACATTGGTTGGCACGTATTATATATGTTTTAGTGTACACTACAATTCTTTAAATTTATTTAATTTTTTCAAGATATTTTTCCTTAAATATATCTCATATATTATAATCATTAATCCATATATTTAATTCTTTCTATCTAATTTATTCTTAATATTTTGTGTATGGCATTCAGATCTTTATGCCCTAATTTCCTGTAGGAACATATACAATTATTTTTTATTTTTAGAATTAATAATACTTTATAGTTCATTCATTTATTTTATATGAGTTATCTAAACTGTTGTCGACGGCTATTATTATTTTACTATTTTTTATTCGCATCGTGCGGATATGCACGAATTGATTATCTTTTATTAATAAACCGTGGCTTTAATCTTGCTGTTGATTGATCCATTTCATATTTGATATTTTTAATTAATTATCACTAATCAATTCAAATTTTCAATTTTTTTAATCAATCTTTTTCTTAATCAAACTTTTCTTAATTAATAATACTTCTATTTTCTTCTTTTATTATTTAGAAATCATAACACATTTTTTTCAGAAACACATATTTATCCTGAACTATATTCTTAATAACATACAAGAAAGTAAAATTAAATGTAATTTCACTTCTTAATTAAATATTTTATCGAGTTCTATGTAACTTGTTAAAAAATGAATAAATTTTCAATAAATTCTTTTTAATTCTTTTTTATCTTTATTCTTATTATGTATACGTATATTATTATGTATACGTATATCAACAGCTTTTATCAAAAAACAAAATAGATAAAAGATAGTTAGAATAATGATTCTAAATATGTCATGTTAATGTCCATTGTTCTTCATAACGCTAAATAACATTATTGCCAATACATTTAGTTTTTTATTTCTATAATTTAATTATATGATTTATATCAATATGATTATATTTGACATGTTTTTTTAGAATATATATATTATCTTGCAACTATCCATCATTTTCAATGAAATTTAATAAATAGAACTAAATAACAACCAAATACATTTCTTTTTGCATTTATTAATATAATAATAGTATAATAACATAATAATTAATAATAAAAATATAAAAATATTAGAAGAATATATTAATTATATATAAAACATTAATTGTTATACATCTTAAAATTTGGTTTGTTCATTTCGAAAGTATTTTTGAATGAAGAAAAATTATTTCATTATAATTTGTAATTTTATTCTTAAACAATCTTATTTCAACTCAAATATTTAAAATGATTTACAGAAACTCAAAGAACAATACAAATATCCAGTATAATAAAAAAAATGTGAACATTTGAAGCAAGAATAAATTCGATTTATCATCATTCCGGAATCCAGAAAAATATAGATTACTATTTTATGCCATAAGAATGTATATATTATGATTTCTTTCTTTTTTATCTAACATAAAATAATTTTTTGATTTATGAAATAAAGTTAAATCAGTACATTATAATTATATGTTTTAATTTTCTTATGCTTCTTTAATTTTCAATTAATTATTAATATATTTAGTGAATTAATATGGAGTTTTAATTAAATTGATTCAAATATAATTACCAACTTTCTTGTATATAACAAACAAGTGTATAGAAAATATATGATTCAAATATATATGATTCAAATATAATTACCAACTTTCTTGTATATAACAAACAAATGTATAGAAATAGAATAGAATATAAATGTATAGAAATATATTCAACTTTTCTAATTCGAAATATCAATTTCTTGTGGATTTTGGCAAATAAATAGATTGAGAGTTATTCAACCGGATTTGAAGAAAATGTTACACATCGATTCAATTAAATTTAAATAAAATCTTGTACAATACCAAATATCCTAAAATTTTTTATAACTTCTTCACAGTTTTTCTTAAATAACAGGTTACATATAATATATTGCATTTTACATTAGATTAAAATTCCATTAGAATATTGATAAAGTAATGTATCTAAAAGAATATAAAATCATTGCTGAAAAAAGTGTATATAATGCTATACTGTGATATGATAGATACCGCTAATGAAATTTTTAATTCTATTACCGTGCTATTTCATTCTACCTAATATATATATAACTTATAAATTATATATTAAAAAACTTATAATTAATTATAAGTTTATTAATATAATATAATATAATTAATAATAAGTTAATTAATAATAAATCTTATCAAATATATATGTTATTTTAATACTTATAATTCACCAATGAAAGTTCTAAGTTTGTATAAATATTCTATATTTAGATTTTCCTTATTCAATAAAAAGATATCATTTATATTTGATTACTTTTAAAATATTACATACTTATATAATACTCATAAAATATTCCATACTTTTTGTATTTATATGATTATAATGATTATATATTCTAATGTACAATGTATTATGTTAAGAATAATTGTATATTTAAATATACAAAATTAAAATAAATTATTATTTCTATTTTGATTTTATTTAGAATATTTTATTTTTTATTTTATTCGAATGTTTTTCTTTTTATTTTGTTTAGAAGATACTATATGAATATTTTCAGATTTTTTTCAAAGGACAGGGCTTATGAAGCGGTCGGGTAACCTGGCATATATTTTCAACAATTCGAATACGAATCAATAGCCTGACAATAATTTATAAGCGGACATGGTTTTCCTAACATTTTCCAAATCTCTAATTTAAACAAAGATATCACAATAACGACCATTTCATAAGCCACATTTGCACGCTATGCGATGGACTACTGTGGGAACGAGAGCGAAAATCTCCACGCATTGCGACGCGAAGGCCCATCCTTCGAGGTTGCCCTCCAACGTGACTATTGGTCCCTTCAATAGAATATGTGCATTTTTCTCGAAAAGCAAGGAATGAAGGAAAAATCAAAGCTTGCGATAGCCTTGCAATAGAATTAATATAAAAATAGAAACTAGAGCAGATAAAATTCAATGACGATACAATGCACATCATAAAATACAGTTAGAATCATCACAGTTAGCTGCAAAGAATCAAAATACCACCATTCGTTCACTCAGAGCTCGTTTATAATATAAATGAATATACAGTTCTAAGTAGTGGTCCTTCGAGCAATAACATCAATTTAGGCATCCCATTTGTGCAATATTCAAAGTTGTTCATCATTTTCGACTTTAACAGATTTTTTTCATAAAAAACATAAATATAAAATATAATACATATATAATACATATAATAATATAACACAACATCTCCCTTTAAAATTTAGAAAATAAAAAAAAATAAAAATTAATAATAACAATAATTTCAGATGCAACAATTTTCATTACAACTTCTTCTTCATCCTTTAAAATTTACTGCTGGCGGTTATATTCTTAATAATAGATTATCAACATTGGTGAGTTAAATAAACGAATAATTTGATTATTTAGTTATTTAACATATTTCACTTATTTAACGAATTTATTCTTCTTTTTTAGTTTTTTAGTAGTATAATAACTTATTTGGTTGCATCAGTACAAATAAGTTCGTCGCCAAGTTTGATGAAGCCCTTAAAAAAGACCTTTGAAGATTAATGCTTTGTTACTATTAAAATTATGATTTCTTATCTATTAAATTTCATAGCATATCATTGTAATTTGCAAATAAGAAGATAATAAAAAAATTGTTAGAGAATAAAAATCGATTCAATATTCGTTCTTTGTATACTATCTCAAAGAAGATTTTTAAAATTCAAAAACTCAAAACAAGCACAAAAGTTGATGTATAAAAATGTTTATTAAGACTTATTTATTATGAATTTAAGTTTCTGTTGGATTTCTTTTTTTGTTTCTATCTACATTATTCATATTATTTCATATAATGAAAATTTAAATAATTGTGTATTAACATTGAGATTATTGTAAATGAATATTTTATTATTAGCGATAACATTAAAAAAAAATCAGCAATTAAATTTATGATTCATGACCTCAAAATTATGAAATAAAAAAAGAAAATCACATTGAAGAATTCGTCCTTAACATGAAAAATTGAAAATTATATAAAATATAATCACAAATATATTTAAAAGTGACATTATAATATAAGAGACAATATTATAAATTATAAATATCTATAAGTATAAATAAATATGGCAATAATATAAATATCTTATATAGCTACACAATTTATTATTTATAGAGTCATTGCTATATAATAAATCTGGCTAATTGACGAATCACGAACTGTGATTTCTGACTTCTTTATCTTCACTTGTTTAGTTATAAATAATAATAATATAAATAATGTGTCTTCCACATTTCTAAAGCAACTGGCTTTAGCTACTTTCCGCCATCGTGATTTCTATTAGTTCTCTCATAGTAAATCCATTAATAAGTATTTTATATTTCTAAAAAGAAATACCAAAATGCTTTTAAGCTTACAGATATTCAAATATTGTCAGATTTATAAATAGTTTATTCGGAGAAATTTCTCATAGAAATCCTTTTTTATTATTATTGTAGACTTTTATTAAATCTAAACAAAGAGTGATGTTATAGAGTTTAATCGACACTTATAATTATATATATTTGACATATTTCAGTCTAGTTGATCCGATCCTAACGGTGACATATTCCAGACATGATTGACTCAACGAGAAATAATATTATTCTAGTTCGAGGAAATCTATAAAAGAGATATACTGATTCCTGCTTATCTTGAAATCTTTGTATACAATCATTACTCAAGCGAGGAATTTTTTTTGAGGTCAACTTGAATCGGGTTCCGCTCAAATTCAATTCAAATATATCAAAAATATATAATTATAAATATCAACTGAACTCTCAAAAACAACAGTTTTCTCAGATAATACCATGCCTTGTTAGAGATTCAATATATATGATATGCGAGCAATAATAGAAAAGGATTTCTATAAGGAATTTCTTCGAATAAGATAAAGAAATAAGATTTATAAATTTTATGAACAGTATAATAAGTGCTCGCGAACGCTAACTGTATTCTAATATATCTAATATTGCTGAATTCTATCTGATCTATTTTATTCTAACTGATCTGATCTAAAAGATAGTCACAGATTTTCGTTTTTCTTCCAATTATTACTTTTCATGAAAAAATGAGATTAGAGGAACTAATAGTTACGTTAGAGGGCGGTTTTGAAAGCTCTAGCAGTCGCAAGATGGGAGACAAGATTTGCACATTCACAATGGTCCACCACAAAAAACTAGGAGCGTAAATGTGAAGTAGCTATATCTCTATTTTTAAATTGATCTCGAAAACGTTAGAAAATTGTATCTGTATTATATATATAAAAATTGTATTCGTAAATTACTTTTAGACCATTGAAAATATTTGAGTTGTTGAAAATAAAATCCAGATTGTTTGATGCTTCACAAATCTTGGGTTTGTTCTTAAAAAATGCCATTCTAAACAAAAATGTATCTCATTCTAAATAAAAATGTATGTACGAAGCATTACACGAAACAAAAAATTCGATCGAATACAAATAATTCAGAAAGAAATATTCCCTTAATAGAAATCACGATCTAAAGATAACTCTATAGAAATAAAAAATTTATTAATAACATTGGCTAAAAATACAGAATATTTAACATATTCATGAACTAATCTTAAATATATTATATTTATATTTACATTACATAACAAACTAACCAATTAAAAAAGTATTTACAAGAAAATAAAAATTATAAAATATTTTTAAAACGTTTTCAAAATATTTTTAAAAGTTCGACAAAATAGAAAGAGCGATATTAAATTTCAAAAATATAATTAGTAAAAAGAAGAAGGCCGGACAGCCACCAAATATGCCGAGTAAAGAATATTTTCCTCTTATCCAAAATATATTCTATAAAAAATTTCTAAAAAAAATTAAACAAATTAAATTAAAAAATAATAAGAAAACACAGCTCAACAAAAGAAGACGCTAAATGCAATTATTAAAAAAATAAATTAATTAAAAATCATTCTAATGAAAGATTTTATATTTATATAGTTTAATTTTTCAACTAATAAAATTACAAATTATTCACTAAAAAATGACTAGAAGATTGAAAAGGCTAATTATTTTTCTATCTATCACAAAAAGAGCAGATTTTTTGACAACTTGATAAACAAAAAATTCTTTAAAAAATCATTATTTTTTTGTCGAATACTTACAAAATATATTCAAATCAAATATATTCAAATTAACATTACTTTAGTTATTTTATGTATAACTTCATCTACAAATAAATAAACTAAAGCTAATTCAATTTAAAATATTATATTTAAAATATAATTATTATTAGATAAATTAGATAAATTCAATAAAATTTAATAAAATTAAATAAATCCAGCTAAAAAAGTAAAAAAAATTCTTTACGAAAATTCAAGACAAAAAAATTTCTTGGTATCGATCTGATCAATAGTAAAACTTTTTTGTATGTTTAAAAATTTAATAAATTATACTTATGACATATGTTTAAAAATTCATATAATTTCTGTTATTTTATTATTATATACTTTATTATTATTATTATTATATACTTATGTAATATTCACAATATTTATATTATATAAGATTATGAAAAAAAAAATTGGGAATATTCAATATTTTTAATGAATTATAGTTTTATATGGAAAATAGGAAATAAATAAATCAAAATGATTATTATTATTATAAAAATTTAAATTCTTGATAATAATCAGTGATGTATGATATGCTATATAAAATATTTTGAATTAGTATTTTATTATATATTTTTTTATATATATTCAATAATATATATATTCAATATATATTCTTTGTTCTATAATAAACATTAATTGTAAAGATATATTGTTTTTTTCTATATTTCCTGTTTCGGTTTACATAAAATGTTTATAGAAAACGTATTTCAATATCAAAACATTAATAAATAAATAATGATAAAATGTCATTGGTTTGTTATATATAATATAATTTTTTTATGAATTATTGAATTATATTTAATTTAATTTTATAATTAATTTCATAATTCATAGTTTAATATTTCATTGTATTTACGTAATATTCATAATTTCTATATCATATAAACAAAAGACTATAAAAATAATAACTATAAAAACAATAATTATTTTTTGAATTTTATGAATTATAGTTTTATACTGAAGATAAGAAGTAAATAAATTAAAATTAATGAAATCAGAACAGATATCTTATAAAATAAAATATAAAATAAATATTGATACTACAAGACAAATCTAATTATATTATAAGAAAATGATAACTTCTAGAACAACAAACAAATTCTAAAATATAAATATAATAAATAAAAAATTTAATAAAGCATAATGAAAAATATAACATATTCAAATTATATATAACACAGAGCAGATCATGTAAATTATGCATCAAGAAAAAAAAATATCTATACTTTAAAATCATTACACTATGAAACAATAATGTAATAATATTTCATATGAAAATCAAATTATGAAAATCAAATTTAAGAATGAATTTCAACTCTAAACTTAAATGTAAAATATATGAAAGAAAGAAAGAGACGTGAATAGATATATATATTATATATATAATATATATTAATAACCAAGTTTCCTTATAAAATCCTTATAAATTCCTTATAAAAGTTATTATAAAAAGTTTTTATGAATAAAAAAATTCTATAAAAAAATTGCAATGTAAGAAAAAATTATTAGAAATTATAAATAAGAGTTACAATACTATAAAGATACAAAGTAAAATAAAATCTCGAAATAAAGAAAATTAAAAACAAAGTTTATGAACATAACACAAATCATAATTTATATCTAAAATACAAATATTGAAACATATAAAAAACATGAGTCTTCACGAACTGAAAAAAAATTTAAAAAAAAGAGTTAATGTTTTCCAATTATTTGTTAATAAGATAATGTACATAACTAATGATCTTAAAAAAAAAATTAAATTAAAATTAACATTTTCTTTAAAAAAGAATTTTGTTTTTCATTTTAATTGATATTTCCATTAATAAATAAATAAAACGATGTGTGACCTTGTCTTAAAAAATAATATGACAATTATCTTTAATTATTGTAAATGAGGTTGCAAAAAAGATTATAACAATATAATATAAATAGATAAAATTATTCATTTCATAATTTGCAATGTAACAATTTAGAAGGAATATAAAAAAAAAACATTTGTTCGCGCCCATAATAGTAATATTGTATTAGTTTTGGTGAATATAAGCTAATAACTGGGTACTTGTCGAATGCTCTTTGAGATTCCGTAACAAATGGCATACTTCTTAAAAATGAATGGACTCTATAAGAAGTTACACGTGTGAAGAGCATTTCTATTAGAGAGCAGAGTTTCTCGCAAAGTCGCAATAGATAATTGTGTCCCACAGTCAGAGCACGATGAAGTGTTAGAACAAAACTAATGTAATTGTCATATCCAGTGATCGGACTACTGGATACAATCCAATAGTTACTATCTGTTCACAATGAGATCTTAGCAAGTGATATCCGTGCTCTCAAAAAAATTCCTTTTTGATTCAATTGGGAGAATCACAGTTTCTCGGTGATTCGA